GTTGTTCTTCATCAATTCTCTTCGATTGCTCTTCGGGTAGACATTGCTTCAGAAATGTATATATTTCATCTAGAGTAATTCTGTAATGAGATAGATAGATATTAATGGATTGGATTCAACCGTAGTCAATCCACGGATATTAATACAATTGTTGATGCATACTCTTGTTTAGATACATTTTTTTGTGCCACTAAAAGACACATGTCCCTATTAAACCTTATCTCCATGAGCTTGATCTTCACAATCGGTAGCCCATTCTTCATTCGTATCATATTCGTCACTTCATCTCGCAGTATCTCTTGCAAGTTTCCCAGAATTCAAGATGCAATTCTCCTATGAGATTCTCGACATGGGGATTATATCAGGATTGTTTATCCAAATGTAAATGTTCCATACGTACGAATGAATGAGGAGACGGAAGGGGATTTACCTCCGGCTCGAGGTGTGAATTGTCGATTGTAAGTCTCGGAATCATTGTTGGTGCGAATGCAACAATTATGCATCGGCACAATTTCTGGAATTCGTCCCCATTGATTATTTATATAATCCGCCCAATGACGAAGATCAGGAAATAATTTCTCATAATAAGAGCATTTTTGAGAAATTATTTTGATTCCTTTTTCAACATGATAATGTGGCAGTAGTGGAAGGGAACGCAATAGGTATTTTGGCTCTCGTGGGGCATCATGTAGATCATATTTTTCAAGCAGCTTCTTCCAGTGTTCAGATGATGCCTATAATGACGAAATTAGTATTAAACATTCTTTCCATCTGGTGGAAAACAGTTGAAAGCTCCAATCTAACTTACTTTGATGAAATGAAACCAACACCCCATCAGCCTTGCCAAAGGTAGAACATTTGCGAAAGGTTTAAGGGCTGCTCTCTCAAAATCACTGACGATCAATTTAACATTCTTTGAGCCTGGTACTATTTTCAATAAGCGACATAATATGGCTTCGTATAACACAGCAGTAGCCTGTAGGCATACCGCAAAAACAGCAGCAAATGACTGGGCAAGTTGATGAAAAAATTGATGATTCCTACTTATAAAATCAATAGGCTCTCGTATTCTTACCTTGTCGTTTTTCCGGAAGCTAATAATCCATATCTGACTCGCCTGTGGAATGTCCGGGGTCGCCTTTAAAATTAAATTTTTTCCTATCATACTAAAAGAAACCTCGCTTTGTTCGATTGATTTTTGAAGGAGAATGAATTTCACTGCACGGATAGCGAAATCAAAATCTATTTCACCCTATGATGGTGGACAATGGCATTCAAAGAGTATTCACGAAAGAAAAATTAATAAAAAAATAGTAACGGAGAATCGCACCGGAAAGAATATTAAATAGTATGAATAGAACCCAGTTGAATCTGCAGATTGAACACCTCTTTACATGCCATTGAATGGCAAACCGCAAAAATTATTTGAAAAATTGACTTTATCAATTGAACTGTCAGTAAACTGTCCAAAGGACAGTTTGGAAAAACCACTGGAGGGATTCACTTCAAAATGAAATCAGGTCTAAATTACATGAAGACCTTCCAATTGTGTTATCGATCATATTGATCTCACAATTGATTCGGAAGAAATTGTCACACCCACACAATAGGTATTTCGGTAAGATGGGTTTAAAAAAGTTTTAAACACCCTAAAACATGGAGAAATGGTGAAAAAATCTAATGATTCATTTTCGAGGTGATTACAGTAACTACTCGGTAGATTGGGAAGTTGTAAATGGTTAATTTTAATGGGCGATTAACTGGATAATCAAATAATCAATGGTTGAAATTATCCATTAATCAGTTTACTGATCATAATAATAAATAATTGATTGTTGAAATAGCCAATTAATTTGATATTTAATAACTTTGCAATTGAATGAACAATTATCAAAGTAATTAGGAAGTGTACGTTATTAATTATTTATGGATTGAAGAATCGATCATTTTTTTGTGATGGTTGAGGATTGATCCGACAATCAGATAATTGGCTATCCTGATTAATGATTATTTGACCAACAAATTAATTTGCGGTTCTCATTCATGTATGAAATGATAATAGTAATTACACTAGGACTGTCATTTGAGTTAATGAGGCAAACAATTATGCAGTTAGCTCCTATTCGGGTCCACGACTCAGTTTTTACCTAAGAGTTCAGGTAGTACAGCCCTGGATATTTCACGAAAATGATCTTTCCAATCTTATAGCGCCATCAGGTAACAGAAATTGTTACTGACAATTTTATTCTATAGGTAATAAATGTATTCGATTCCTACAATACCGATGCTGGTTTATCGGCTTGGCGCGTTGTGGACACTTTGTCCTCGTGGACAGTTTCCCCGTGCACTATTTCATTTGTGGACAGTTCTGCTGTGCACAGTAGCGCTCCTTGTACAGATCGGTGCCGTGTACAGTTCTGACTCGGCGGTTGTATCTCCCCCGCCAGTTTTCCTCTTGAGGGGTCGCAGGCCCTCCGCGTAGGAATACAATGAACAAAGGAGAACCCAAACCCGTGTGGACCACTTGAAACAGAGAAACTTTCGAAATATACCAGAATTGAGATTTTACGATTTTACGACTGTGACCGATGTGTTTATTTTTCTCTCTGAGTTTAGAATTTTCCGGAAAAGCCTTTCTGTAACGAATTTTGGAGAGTAATAAATTGAAAACTCAACTCAAGTACTTGACATTTACAATTGCTGGCAACGGTTTTTCCTTACACTCATCAAATTATTTTTTGTCCATTGTTCATTGTCCTCTGTTCGAGTCACTCTGCGCCGAGAAAACATTGGGTTTCTTATAGCGCCGTGACTTTCGTCGCAATATTAATTTTTTTATTGCAGAGATTAAGGGATGAAACGGGGGTTGATGGATGGCGAATTTAATTCTCCATTGAACAGTCTTTGTTTCATCCCTTAATATTAATTAGTCGGCGAATAAATCAACTGAAAAACATAAAGTAAACATTGAGTACAAGGTGGACAAAAATCGCCCTCCGAACCTGTCCCTGTCACAGCGGGACTGCTACTGCCGAGTTACTCACGCACCCGACTCACATTTACCGACAATTCGACCGGGACACCGCCTTTCCCGTGGGGTACCAACTAATATTTTTGGAGTCAGTCCAACCCCCCGATCCGGGCCTCTACTCAGGTCTATCCTCTTTGACTATAACGTCCCGACGTTGAATTTTATAGATGGCACTATTTATCGGCCATTTTAATCCGCGAGATTTGAATTATTATTTCAAAATGAATATAAAAAGTCTGAAATTTGAGAATGCCAAGAAAATGGTC